GTTTTTTTTTTTTTTCCCAACATTTATTTATTTTTGAGAGAGCATGAGTTGGGGAGGGACAGAGAGGCAGACACAGAATGTAAAGTAGGCTCCAGGCTCTGAGCTGTCAGCACAGGGCCCGACACGGGGCTTGAACTCACAAACTGCGAAATTGTGACCTGTGCTGCAGTCAGACGCCCAACCGACTGAGCCACCCAGGCGCCCCTGAGAATAAGTGTTGTTGTAAGTAATTTTATTACAGCATAATAAAAGTGCCAGTTAGGTTTTATAAGATGCAGAATTCTACAACTCCTGCCCAGTAAGAATGACGGGTGATACTTGCATGGAAATTGGCAACTGTCTTCCCTGGAAGCCCTGGGATCTGCGGGAAGTCTTGCGTGGCGTTAGTTACAGAAGGCATCTGCGGATGGCCACAAAAGACTGTCACAAACCAAATACAAGAGTGGGTGGAGAATGGACGGGACCACCACCCAGTGGGTGAGGGACAGGGACCTCCCCCCATCCCCAACACACAGATCCGGTGCCTCAAACCTCAGGCAGGGCTGGGAAGAGCTTTCCTCACCTCTGTGGGCTACAGAGGGCTGTTGATAACCCCGGGCAGGGAGGAGCCCCCTGGAAGCTTCACAGAGTGATGGCGGAAGGTGGGGGGGTGGGGGGGTCCTGTGTCCCATGAACTGGAGTAAGAAGTCACTCAACAGGTTCAGAGACTCCTTTCACATCTCCCTGGGAGTCAGCCTAGTACCTTCTCCGCCCCCACCCCACCCCCCACCGCGAGCTGAGGAACACAACGTAAAAGACGTTCTCTGAGTGTACCCCCACAGTGGGGGAAGGCTGGGGGGGGGCGGTCAGACGAAACGGGAAGTTTTATTAATGGTGAGTGGCAATGACTTGCAGGCTTGATTAGGGTGCATTTGCATATTTCCTTCCTATTTTTGGCAGGATTTTAAAATGGTTCGTTAACTATTTAAGAGAGGCATAATTCAGTACAGGCAACTAGGAGGTTGAACAGGATCTTTCTTCAGTAGTATCCCGCCTAGAGAGAGGAGAAAGGAAGCCAGGTTACTCTGCTGCTGCTTTAAAACCCCCACGCAACCGGCCCTGGAACACGAACTCAGTATCGGGACTCTATCAAATGCCTGCTATTTTAAGAGATGCTTGAATGTGCTGTATACAAAAGGTCCCTGTGTCCCTAAGAAGGTAAGCGCAGTCTGGGCTGATAAAAGATTAGGGCCTTCCCTGCAAAGCGACAGTAACAAGGTGGCGACGGAGGCAGTGTTGTCTGTTATCAGTGAGACGACAGCGGGGTTGACACAGGAGTGGAAAACACTCATTTACTATCCTCCTGTTGTGCGTGGGGAGCTGAAGTCTCTACGTGAAGTCTGAAAATGGATCAACACTTTCGTTTCTAAAGTCCAAAGCAGTATTGAATAGAATCCATACCTACTGAGCCCGAAGGAGTTCTGGCAGCCATCTCAAGAGTTTGTCGTAGTTCATTTTCAAGGGCCTAATGACATCTATCAATTTTAAACCTTCCATGCTTTTCAACGTTTTAACACCCATACCTCCTGCAAGGCTTTTGGTGGCTTAAGCTTTATAGGAACTTTATTTTGTGTAGACGTGTAGACACACACACACACACACACACACACACACATCTTTTAAATGTTTTCGGAACACTCCTTTCCACTCTGAGACTGACCTGTTCCCTTTAGACTAATAATCACTACTTTCAATCTCCCAATTAAAAATGTTCCAAGACCATCCTCACTGTGGTAAAGAGAGTTAATGAAATCACATCCAAGCATGTAACAGAATCACAAAGTGCAGAAAAGCCGTTTCAGAAAAAAATGACTGCAGTTGCAATAAATACAAAAGCACAATTTGAGCTTAGAATCACTTACTTAAAATAAGAGGTGATTTGAGAAAGAGGACAGAGAGGCTCAGAGAGAAGCAGCAAAGAGGGAAAGAAAGCCAGATCCTGAGCGGTCTCACACTGAATCCAAAGCGGTGTGGACCACGAACACGTCAGCTCACGGTAATGGGAACTGAGGAGCGCCCTGGGAGATCGCTGTAGGCTGCCCTTGTCCTAGAGACGAGCAAGCCAAGCGAGGCCCCAAGGCGGGCTCAGAAAAGGCCTTGCTCAGAGTCAGAAATCTGTTGATCTCAGAACCAGGAATTAAAGCCACATTTTCTTGTTACCAGGGTCCATGTTTTTACACACTGCTGCCTCTCTAGATCTTATCAGAGAGAGGCTTGTCCGCCAAACCCTTTTGGGAGTTCACACGGGCTACCCGGCCTGCCCCCGCCTGCCTGGCCCAGCGTGCTGCGGCAGTGGGAACCTTCCTGGGTTAGAGGGGGAGCACAGTCAGCCTCCGAATTTGCCACGGCGCTACGAAGTTCCATCCCCAGGAAGAAGGTGTGTGTCAGGCTGGGGACTGATGTCCTGGGATCAGAGATGACAGGCAGGTAAGGGCCAGAGAGCCGAGCACACCTGAGACCTCAGGACGATGCGGAGGAAGGAACAGAAAGCCTCCCAGCTGCACACAATGTTTTGATTCGCTCAGTCTGCCACCATGAATTCTAAAGCCAAACTTCTTGTTAAACACCGAAACAGCGCAGAACCAAATGGGACTCGGAGAGTTTTAGAAGATAAGCCTCAAATTATAAAACAGAGCGTTCACTGTGTCCGTGTGCTTCTTATAGATCTGAGCTGGTCAGTGGGCACGTCCTCTGGGAGAGCTGAGTAGATGGGGAGGAGCGGGGAGGAGCTCACGTGACTCCTCTTCTAGAAATGATGCATGCTTCGTCTAGACCTAGCAGGGCCACGTTACCTCCACACGTTTTTTAAGATCCCCGCAAACCACCCCCGCCCTTTCAACGGTACGGGTAAGTTTTGATGCCCTGAGATGCTGGGCCAGGCTCCAAAATGTCTGGAGACGGAGAGGTGAAACACTGGTTCGATAACCCCTAAGCCTGTAGCTATACAGAAACCACTAGAAGAAAACATACCCCCGCCTGGCCCACTTTACAGAGAGAGAAAACAAGCAGTTCCTACCTCACTCTTAACAGACAGAGCTGGGTCCTGAGTTCTGCGGCTCTCATCACTGCTTACTGGACGACAGAGTCTGAACTGCCAGAAATATCAATAGGGCCTTTCTCCTCAGCACAGCTTGGTATTTCTGAGAAAACCCAAACGATTTCAAATGCAACTGGTATTTCCAGTTCCACCAAAGCTGTGACACTGGTTTAAGACAAGCCAACCCCCTTTTTGACCTTGAAACAAAAACACAGACGTGAACAAGCCACCTTCTATTCAGCGCTCGAATCTCGCCCCTTTTCCGTGGCTGCTGACCACGAGTGTTGCCGCTATTTTCAACGCATCTCGTCAAGTTGGCTGGCCGGGGGCTCCAGGGACACGGTCGCCCTGCCCTACTCCACCTCAACTTCCAAAATCCTGGCTCTGTTCCCTCAGCCCAAGGATATGCGGACCGCCTCGGGACGCCAGCTCTCAGGAGGGCCGGGCGGTGAGCCCGCGTCTACGATAACTAATCGCCAAAGACAGAACGTATGTGGCAGAGTTAACTTTGGAGGAAACACATTCCACGCCTCGCTCGCCAAAGTTGTCCTACCACTGCTATTGGCCGCCGTGCAATTCCCTCCTTTGTCTCCACGGCCTGCTGACCCCAGGCACACTCGAGAACACGACTGACACGGACATGCGGGAGGCAGAAGGATCAGAGGGCTGAACAGCTCAGAACGTGACAAGTTCTATGGGGCCTTAAACTCTTTTTTTTTTATTATTATTAATTTATCTTTGAGAGAGACAGAGCACGAGCAGGGGAGGAGCAGAGACAGAGAGACAGAGTCAGAAACAGGCTCCAGGCTCTGAGCTGTCAGCACAGAGCCTGACGCGGGGCTCGAACCCACGAACCGCAAGATCGTGACCCAAGCCGAAGTCAGACACTCAACCGACTGAGCCACCCAGGCGCCCCTACGGGGCCTTACACTCTTAAACCAGAGGTGGGCACACTTCTGGAATCATTTAGGTTCTGCGAGCCACACAGCCACCTGTCCCAAGGACTCAACTCTCGCTACAACGAGTCAGTGAGGGGTTGTGGCTGTTCCTCTGGCAAGACGGGCCGGCAGGCTGCGAGTTCGCGGACCCTGTCCCAGACTCAAGGTTAATTTAAGAGACGGAGTCGGATTTCTACAATCAGAGGAACTCTTGAGACAGAAGACGCGCATCTGGCAGCCATGTGGGACCAGAGAGGCGGGGACTTACCTTGACAAGCACAGCCGCCACGATGCCCAGGAAAGCAAGTAACAGGAGACCGAGCTTTCCTTTGTTGAAGCGTTTCAGGAGGAAAAATTTGGCCCAATCCACCTTTGACTGGCTGTTGGGAGGGTACCTGAGCTTGTTAGCACCTTCCCTCTTTAAAGTTTTCAGTAAGCAGGGACGCTGATGCGAGAAAGTATCAAAACTATGTTTGCCGTGGTAAGCGCCCATCCCACTGGAACCTGAAAGAGAGAAGCAAAACAGGCTCCGCTGGAAGGGACACAAGCCACAAGAAAGCCACAAAACTCCTGCTGCCGGGGATGCCCCCCTCTCGCTTCTCAGTGCGAGTGGCTCTTCCGGGAAATTGCTCCCAGCGCCCCCAGGACCCCCAGCAAGGTGAACCTCCCTGTCAGACAGGCCGCTTTCCGGGGCGCCTGGGTGGCTCAGCCGGTTGAGCGTCCGACTCGGTTTCGGCTCAGGTTATGATGTCGCGGTTCGTGGGATCGAGCCCGGCGTCGGGCTCTGTGCTGATGGGACAGAGCCCACTTGGGGTTCTCTCTCTGTCCCCCTCTCTCTGTTCCGACCCCGCTCATGCTCTCTCAAAACAAAATAAACATTAACAACAAGACAAAACAGGACGCTTCCCAGGAGTCGAGCCAGAACCTGCCGCTCTCCGGCAGTGGCTCTCCCTGATACCAAAGACCACACTGTGTTCGTTCCCGCCACAACCCCACTGTACAAAGTCACCATTGCCCCCAGTTCCAGGCAGGGAAAGGGAGCTTGGCCGGTCGGGTAACCTGCCCAAGGTGCGGAATGCGAAGCCAGAACGCGGAGTCCAGGTCAGCTGGACTCTTCGGCACTGTGTCCTCTCTTCCTTCTGTTCCATGTGGCTCTAGGTACCCACAGCCCTTATTCACCCACTAATGTCCTCAAAGATGCGACAGAGTAACCAAGGCAGGATGACAGGGTTCCGCTGCTGGGTGAGAGATAATACGCAAGCGTAAACCTCTGCCTTCTTAAAAAGCCATGCCCTGTGACAGTTTTCACGTCCTTGTCGTGGGTGCTGCGTGGCAGCTACGTGCGTATGCCACGAGGGTATAAGGCACGGGCGAACGGGGCCACGGAGCACTTTACTGGTACTTTGCAGGCCGCTGGGACGTCATTTAGGGGCAACCAAAGCTGCGGAGAAGTCTGGCAATATACGTCAAACGAGATGCATTTTTAAGGAAAACTCCAAACTGTCAATATGTTAATAGTGTTTGTGCCTGGGGGGCGCCTGGGGGGCTCAGTCGGTTCAGCATCTGACTCTTGAGTTTCAGCTCAGGTCATGATCTCGCGGTTTGCGACAACACCGGTTTGCGACAACACCGTGTGACATTTTCTCACATCGGTATGCTTGTGCGTCACGAGTTAGTAACTGCATGCTGTTCCAACCTACGAATGCCACCTTAGGGTCTCAGGATTCCACACTTTTTGTGTGATGATTCTGATGTATTTTTGTGCAGTTTCTCATTATTTCCCTAGGGAAGAGGTCTAAGAGTGTTAACTGCTGTGTTACAAAGGCTTAGAAAGTGAAATGCTTTTTTCTCCCAATTCTAAAAGTAATACAGGTTTTAAGGGGAAAAGGGCCAAAACAAATAAAACGCTACAGAATGGGCATAAACATACAGGCATAAACACTATTTTTTTTTAAGTTTATTTTGAGAGAGAGAGAGATCGAGCTTGTGGGGGTATGAGTGGGGGAGGGGCAGAGAGAGAGAGAGAGAGAGAGAGA